TTTGAATAAAGAGATTAATTCAATGAAAACACCTATAAATGAATTAAAAGTGACAGACATTAAGGACTGGTCGAAGAAAATGATTGCCAATAACAAGAATTGGTCACCATCATTGAATCCAATTAAATTCATGTCGAATAAAACAAATTTATTAAATAATCGTAAAATAAATTTCAATTCAAACAAATCATCCAGTAGCTATTCCACGGATAAAATATCTGATGGTTATTCCAATCAAATCAATAAATCACAACATGTTATGGAAAATACCAATTCTCTAATGAATGGTAATCCTGTCACTAATTTTCCGAAGTATAGTTCTTCGGCATTAAGTAACTTCACGTGCACTGAACCTGGATATTTTGCTGACCAAAACTTTGATTGTCAGGTATAATATTGTTAACTTATTTGATAACTTACAATTAATATTTGTTCGTTTGTTTGAAAATGATTGCCATGGATCAGGTGTACCACCACTGCGAGAGAAACAACTATCACCAGAAGTTCATTTGTCCGAACGGAACACTATTTAATGTAGACATCCAATCGTGTGACTATTGGTTTAATGTGAACTGTGGTTCCAATCATTTACATCAAAATTTCAATTTTCATGGTTTAACCAATTCTTCTGATATTTGGAGCCAAAAGAATGTGAAGAAACGAGAGAGTAATGAAGTTGAGGACGATTCTGATCACAGAAATATTGTCGAAGACATTAAGAAATTTATTCTCAATATTAATAAACACTAATATACTGTATAACATTGTATTGAAACTTTGATCAGTTGTCTAATAATTTCATTTGCTTTAATATATGTAAATAAATTAATATTTTACGGTATATAAACCTAATTAAGATGTATATGTTTACAAAAAGTCTCAATTTTAATTCAAAAACTCATTTATTTGAACACTTTTTAATTAAGTCAATCCAATAGCACTTTGTTAACAACTTTATTCAATTCATAAACATCTAAACTATTAATTTTTACATTAAATAACTAAATCATAAGAGCACTGAATATAGCAGTGACTCAAAAGAAAGGTCGTCTCATAATAAACTCTTCCCATTCTCTGTGTTTGAGTTTCCATCTAAAGAGTCGAGTGAGCAATGAAGTCCTCTGCGGATCAAAACTCGGAAGTACTCCGTAATGTGGTATCTATTATAAGGACATAATTCCAATGAAAAGCAGTTCAACAAACAAAACAAATGCAAACCATATTTTCATATATTTTGTCGCGATGTTCGGCAATTTCTGCGTCCAGCCATAGCTCGTCCACATCATAGGCGGGAACTACACACATATTGGTCACCAAATCGTCTTTAGTGTTTGTATAGATATGACGCTTCTGTTCCCATAAGTCCTCTTCCCATAGGTTCCAGTCCTCAAACTTTTCAAAGTGCGGGTCCCAGGAGTCGACATTCACTTTCTCTATGTCGTCAGCCATGTCCTCGATGT